AAACCAAACCTAAACCTGTGAGAGACTCCCAGCTTTTGGAAGTCAAGTCAGTCCAATCTGAAGACTGAGTCATAGAGATACACTGACCTTGCAAGACTTTTCTTTGGCCAGATTAAGATACTTAATTTCTAGTTAGGAAAAAAAATAAAGTACACTCAGAGGTTGGAGGACATGAAGAAAATGTAACTGAATTTCTCTTTCCTGAGAATTTCTTTTTTTAATTGCCTCACATCTGTTCCTCTCCACTTCACACTGAATGGGGAGAAAGAATAAGGGATTATTGAGGAGAGCCCCAAGAAGAAAACAACTATTTCCAAAAGGGCAATGGAGCCTGTTTCCAGGGGATAAACAGAGTACTGCCAGAATCCAAGACAAGGTATTGCCAGCCTCCAGGTACAAGAGCCAACCACTAATGTTTAAAGGGCTGCCTTTGTACCTGGTGTCTGTCAGTGAGCATGCATTGTAAGAAAAGAGAAATGAGACCTAAGGAAAAAGCCTCCGTGGAAGACAGGCGATAATCAGATAAAGCAGACCCAACGGAGCTGAAAGAGAATCGAAGAACTAATCATGAAGATATTAAATGTCCCTAGAGGGCTGTACACTTGAAAGAAAATATTGGAAACATTAACAAGGATCAAGAGATCCTACAAAAGAACTAAGTGCTAAAAGAAGGGTTGAAAACACCTAGAAATAGGAAAGATTTGAGGACATCTGTGACAATGAGAAAATCCAAGAATAGTCACCAGTACGCGAACAATTGAATTTACTATTGTTTCAGTATTATATTTATTTCAATTGAAGATAAATAATTTTTTAAAAATTTAGGCATATTCATGTATTTTTTTATTTCTCCACAGAGTATCTTCAGCTGCATATTTTTTTAAAAAAATAATGTTTGTATCATTAGTATAATATTAGATAAATATAATTAGATATAAAGAAATAAACAAGGTGAAACAGTTGACGACGAGCAAGGTAATTTTCACACAGTGATAAAGTAGTGGATAAAATACTTTTAAATGCCTTTTAAAATGGAATTTATGTTTCAGTGGTGAACACATTGTTGATGACTTATAGAAACTGTATGCTGTGTTGACATGAATATTTGAGTTCACAATGAAATATATTAGAAGATGTCCGAGTAAATCTAGTATTATGTCATATGCTTTAGGAGAAGAAAGCAACTTCTATGATGCCATATTCCTGCTAGATTCATTATTGTCACCTGCATAATTATCTCCCCTCATTTTCACTCCTGGAATGAACAATGTTTCAAAACTTCCTAAAATGTCCTTAAAAAATAACTGAAAAAACTTTAAGTTACTTCTCAGTAAT